CGTCCTCACGGTGGGCGAGTAGGTGTCTGTGTAGTCCTCCGGGAACCTTTGAGCAAACCCCTGGGCAACTAATCTTGCTTTGTATAGGCTTTGGCCACCCTCTAAATTCTTGATCTTGAAGATCCATCGGGTGCCTATCGTGTTCTTACCCTCTGGGACCTTGGTGGGGGTGTATACTTCTAGTTTCCTCAGGCTGTCCAGTTCTTTGGCCATGGCTAACTCCCACTTTGCCCTCTCTTCTTGGGGTAGTCTCAGTACTTCTTCATAGGAGTTGGGAGTAACGTGATTCGTGTGCACGTGCATCACGTAATCATTTAACCTCCTTGGCAGTTGGTTTCTGGTTGACCTGACCGGTCTGGTGACTGTCTGTTCAGTGTCATGCAGGTATCTGGCCTCTCTCTGTGTCAGTGAGTCGACACTTATCTTGGGGTGGTTCTCTTTCCATCCCTTAACCTTGATGCCTTGGAGGTTGGGCTTGGGCCTGCTCCCTTCCTGTCTATCTTGTTCTTGTTTTGGGCCTGCTCGATTGGACTGTCCTCTCGTTCGGTGGGTACCTCATTTAAGTGTATTCTGGACCAGTTGGCTTGTTCGTGGAAAGCCGCTGTTCTAGATACCACGAACCTATTATTGCTGTCCACAAACCTGAAGCCCTTGGTTCCTGGCTCGTATCCCATAAACCTCAGTCTTCTGGATACCTTGTCCCCTTTCTTGCGTAACTGCTTGGGTATGTGTACATCAGCGGTCACACCGAACACGTGTAAGTGTGCTATCTGAGGCTTCTTACTATACATGAGCTCGTATGGCATCTTGTCTATCACACTGGACCATGTTCTGTTGAGTGTGTAATTGGAGTAGACCAGGGCTTCAGACCAGAAGTGTTGGCCAATGCCTGCGTCCTCTAAGGCGCATCTGACCATTGTTTGGAGCGTGGAGTTCCGTCGTTCTGCGACCCCGTTTTGAAAGGCGGAAAACGGGGATGACGTAAAGTGAATCACGCCTTTGGACCTGAGCCAATGGGAGAAGTCCTTAGATAGAAACTCAGATCCTCTGTCGGTCATGATTTGTTTGATTCTGGCGTTGTTTTGGGTTTCTACTCTTTTATAGAACTCTTTGAATTTTTGGAAGGCCTCATCCTTTTTCCTTAAGGTATAGACGAAGCCATATCGACTATAGTCGTCCACTATGGTGAGAAAGTATCTTTTTTTGTAATTTATGGATGGCCTTAGGGGTCCTACCAGGTCCATGTGGACTAAGTCAAATATTTGTTTGGCGGCACGCAGCGACTTCTTGGGTCTGGGTTTTATCTTTAACTTTGAACATTTGCACACCGAGCACTCGAGGTAGTTTTCACAGTTCTTTATTTTGATGCCCTCAGTACAATTGGCCATTTTCTGGATCACGGGAAAACTGGCGTGCCCTAGCTTCCGGTGTAGCAGATGAGCACAGTCGTCATGCATGGGTTTGCCTATCGAGGGCCTCCCTTGAGTGTGTCTGCTGTGTTGTGTTTCTTGTGTCGTGTTACCATCGTTATCTATCTCTCTCCCTTCTGCCTGTTCCCCCTCAGTCTTGTCTTGTTCATTGTCCTCTGTGTTCTCTGAACTGGTGTACACGCTGTGTTATTCTCACAGAAACTTATGTAAGGTAACCCTTGGTTGATGATTACTCTTCCTATATCTTCTCCACCTTTGCTAACTCTAACATTACCTCTTGTGAAATTCACCTCAACTCCTGATTCTTTGCTAAGCTTTACTGCGGCTAGTATGTTGTGGGGTATCTCTGGGACTAGCAGTACCCCCTCTATTTTCCCTACTCCTGGCAAAGTAACTGTCCCTTTTCCGGTTACCCTAACCTGATTTTGGTCTGCAACTTTGATAGAGAAATCCTCCCTCTTGAATGATGAGAGTAGTTTCTGGTTGCATGTGGTGTGGTTGGAGGCTCCCGAGTCCAGGAGCCACGAGCTGGCATCTTTGTCTTGGTGCGTGATGTGTGTGTGCTCCCCTATCCCGTATAGAGATCCTGTTCTGCTGTCGCGTGAACTGTCTCTGTTCCCCCTTCTGTCCCTGGGATTGGGTGAGTCCCTACGCCTATACCTTTCTTCAGATGCGTGCCTTTCCATGTGTCTGTATTTGTGCTCTGGCCTGCCTCTCTCCCTATAGTTCCTGGGGCAGTCCCTTTTAATGTGTCCCCTAGACCCACAGGTGTAGCATTCTGGTGCGCTGTGCTGTTTCTCTTGGAAGACTACCCTTTTTTCACTCTTATGTTCTCTGGGAGGGCCGGGGCGGCTCCTCCTCAGATTATCTTCCGCGATAAGCTTGTTGGATAGCCTCTCCACGGATAGCATTCCTAGGCTAACGGTGTCTAAGTGTGTCAGGAAGTTATTCCATGAATGATCTAAAGAGTTGACTATCACACTCTTCATGATCTGGTCGGAAATAACTTCTCCCCTGAGGTGTAGCTCTGCTCTGGTACCGCTTAAGGACACTAGGTGCTCACTCATGGGGGTCCCTGGCTTAAGTCTGGCGGAAAAGAAGTCTTTGGAAATTTGTGTGGTGGTGGACACACTTTCACTGTAAAACAACCCAAACATTTTCCCTATAATTTCTGATACTGTGAGGTTATGGCCAATACAGTGGTAAATTGTGGGGGATATGCTGGCAATTAAAAGATAGAATGCCTTATGGTGCATGCAATCCAGCTCTAAAGTCCATGGTCTCTCTGGTGGGTCATTAATAAAATGAGACATGTTTTCTTTCAGGAACACCACCTGGAGCTGCTGTGACCACTGTAGGATATTGCCCCCATCCATTCTCAACTTGGGAAAGTCTACTGGTAAGTTTCCAGCACTATTTGCAAAGTTACTTACTGCTGGCTGCTGTCCATGGTTCCTTATGTGCCTATAGCAGCAGTAAGGCATGGGAACGCTTGCCGGTAGTTTAAAAGTCCCGCTTTGTAATTTTTTTCTCTTTTCTTCTTCTAGGCGGAAGAGCGCATGCGCGAAGTCCATTTCAGCTCCGCCGTCACCGAGGAAGGACCTGTTCATCGCGGCTCCGCTGTAGAGGCCTCTATCGGTCGGGTAGGCCTCGGCTTCGGACTTGGGGGTCCAGTTGTGCTCCGGAGGGCGTCGTCCAGCAGCTGCTTCTCCGGAATGAAGATCCTGGCGGCGTTGAGGCTCCGGCGATGGCTGTAAGTAGCTGCCCCAGTCCACGCGGTCCGGGATGTGCGGCCTGGGCGATCGGGGGCGCGGTGTCCCTGGGGTGCGTAGGTGGGCTGGCGAATTGTCCCGGGCGTCGGTGGCTCTCGGGTGGGTGCTCCGTTGCCCCTCTCCTCGTCTTCCCTTTTGTTTTGGCCTCTCCGGCTTCTCTTTAGTGATTTTGAGGCCTGGGCCGAAAGCGGCGGCAAGGGTCTTCATGGCCCTATCCACTTGCCGTTCGCTGGGGGTGTACCAGGGGTCGGAGTCGGATTCGGTCCCCTCTCCCCGGTCACTTTCATCATTGTTTATGGTCCGGCATTTTTCGCGCGCCAGCCATTTCGAATTCTGTTTGGTGATTGGTTGGGGGTCGGCCATCTTGTCCGACCACGTGGACAAAGATGGCCGCCGTTTCAAATTTAGAGTGGGGCTTTGGGGCTCGGTGGCCGTTGGGGGTGCCCTTTTGGGCGATCCACTCACCGAGTCCAGCTCCTCGAGTTCTGAGTCCGAGCCTTCTTCGCTCCTTGCTGCCTCGCGATCGAGTATGAAGCTCCGCAGGTCGGCAAGGAGGTTTCTGTCGCCGGCTCTCTCCTTCAATAGCTGCAGGACGTCGAGTCGCAGCTTCTCTTCTTCTTGATCGTAGTGGTGGGCCCTTTTGCCTTTTTCGATCTCCCCCCTTTCTTCCGTCGCGGTGGCTTTGGGGGTGGTTGAGGTCCCTGCCTTCCCTGGCGAGTCTGATGGGTTGCTTTCCCGTTGCTTCGGGGGTGTCGCCATTCTGCAGGTAGGTATGGGTCCTTGTCTTGTGGCTTGGGATCTCTGGGCCTTACCAACCATCCTCTGCTACCATTTTGTTACGAGGAATGATGGATCAGGCCCAATAAAGAGACTTGAGTCATTAAGTAAAATATCTCTCTTTTATTTGCAGGTTCATCTTATCGTCACTTGGGAACATTAGGATCTGAAACATGGAGGAGTGTGCCCACCTTTTATACCTGTGGGCGGGGATTCAGGTAAGGAGGGGTCTAGGGGAGGAGTTGACCAGGTGGGTGTCTGGGTTAACCCTTGCACTACTGAGCTATAGCTGATCCCTGGCATGGGCAGAGCATTTATACCTGACATTCCTACCATGCCCTAGACACATCCTCAGTAACCTTTTCTAAAATGGATTATACTTGTTTTATCCTCTCAATTTTTGAGGTAGTCCAGGTCAGGAAACATACGTCACAAGAAAGTAAAATGCAAGATTTGACATTGCCCACTATGGAGGAATGGTTGGTAAAGTTGGTAGATTTTGCTGAAATGGATAAATTGATTTCCTATTAATATCTATCCTGTCTAATCATCAAAACCAAAGATCACAAATTCATTTTTTTCATCTTTACGTAAATCCATCACCAATTAATGTAGCTAATGACTTTATACAAAGAGCAATATTATGCAGTCTTAGAGACGTTAAAACATATTTATATTTATTGCTGCTATGAAGAGTATCAGAAGCCACTTCTTTGTTATCTTTTTTCTTTCTTTTCTATTTTTCTTTTTTCTTGCACTTTTTGACTTTTTACATTCAAGAAATATAAAACTGTACTTTAGAGGAGAGGAAGGGCTATGACAGTCTGCTTCCCCTTGTGCAGCGCCCAAGGAAACCGCCTTCTCGCACTTTCCCGGCTGGCCAGTCTGAGCTCATCTCGGCGTTCCTCTAACACCGGCCCGCCCCCGCCCCCCGCCCAAGCAAGCGGCGCCGGCGCAGGCAAAACCCCGACGAGGCAGCTCTGACAGGGCGCCCGGAGGGCGGGGCTGGAGCTCCTAAACAGGCGGCTAAGCTAAATGCCTGAAGGACCCCGTCCGTCTCCGGGAGTCCAGGCGCCTGAGCGGGCTGCGGGCGAGCAGACGGCGGGCTTCGCAGGGGGCCGGGGAGGGGCCGGGGGCGTCGTTGGGGCGCCTGCGAAGAGCGGCTGAGGCCCGGTCCCCGCGCGGCGCCGCCATGATCCACGAGCTGCTGCTGGCACTGCGCGGCTACCCGGGCGGCCTCTTCGTGGGCGGCGGCCTGCAGGTGGGCGCGGTGGCGGGGCGAAGGGGCGCGGGGGGGGCCCTCCCTCCCTCCCTCCCTCCCCCCCCCGCGGGCCCGGCCCAGCGCCCTTCCTCATCCTCCCCCGCAGGTGTCCCCGGAGCCGCCGCCGTTCCTGCACCCGAGCGAGGCCGCCCTCCTGGCCCGCGTCTGCCGCCTGGGCGCGCTCTACGTCCGCCTGCACGAGTTCATCGAGCAGTTCGCCGAGCATGCCCAGCCGCCGCTGCCGCCGCCCGCCGCCCCGCCGCAGGTGCGCCCTTCCCGGGGAGGGGTGGCGGCCCGCGCCTGCCCTGCGGGGAGTCACCGCCTCGCTTCGCTTCTTTGCAGGAGCTGCTGGCCTCCCCGCCGGGGATCTACCTGCGCGCCTTCTGCACCGGGCTGGACGCCGTGCTGCAGCCCTACCGGCATGCGCTGCTGGGCCTGGAGCAGGAGGTGAGGGGCGAGCGGGGTGCATGGTGGAGAAAGACCCCAACCCGAATGGGGATGATAGAAGTTTTGTCAACAAGCTAGTTTGTCCTGGGCAAGGTACCCACTCCAAGCTTGCATTTTCTGACAGAATGGGACCTTATCTGGAATAAGGTATTGCAGGATGTGTAAAATATAGCAGAAGGCGACATCCTGACAACCTGTCTCCCCCCCCCCAAAAAAAAAACTCTGTTGTGAATGCTCACACTTTATCTCTTTGTTTTGGGCAGTTTCTGGCTGATCCTCACCTTACCATCTCATATGTCAACTATTCTCTGGACCAGGTGAGTATTGTCAAAGAAGTCATTTCTCATCTGCACTTCCCAAGATGCAACAAGAGTAGATTTTAGATTTGCAGAGATTAGATTGGCTTTCTATTTTTTTTAAAAAATTTTTTTTCAAAAAGCCCAAACTCTACCCAATAGATCCAACTGAGAACCTGCTTGAAATGGACGCAGAGGACCAAAAATCTATACTACTAATTACAGTAGCTTAGGTGATTATTGAGAACAAGTCCTCGAAAAGAGAGGTGCAGGGCTGAATTATTCTTGTTCTTTTGCAGCCAATCTCTCAAACTGCATTTGAGAGTAGGGATTATGGAGGCTTTTCATTTCATGCCCTTTCATCTCATCTTTCTTTTAGATTAGATGGAAAATACAGGCAGTTCTCATTGAACGACCTTTCATTCAGCAACCAAATTGAAGATTGTGTTGAATGAGGGAGTCTTTAAGTGGGTCCTAGTAGGTGCAGTCATCACCCCCTGCTCATGTAATCACAATTCTGGGCACTTGGCAACCAGCTCATTGTTATGAGATCCCAGCATCCTGCAATCACATGATCACCATTTGCAATCTCTTATGTTGTGACCATGTGGGATTTGCCTAACAATAGCAATTTAGACAGCTGTAACCACCATCTTAAAATAGTATGGAGACATGATGGTTCACTTTTTGACCATGTCACTTAGTAATAAAGTTGCCAGTTGCAATTACCATCCTTAAGCAAGGACTACTGTTAATAATAATTATTATAGTTTTATCCTTCTTTTCCTTCTCTTGCTACAGTTAATATTCTGTTTTCTTATCATCCTTACAACAGCAACCTTGTGAGGTTGGTCTGGCTGAGAGTGAGTCACTGGCCCAAAGTCCCCCAACTGGTATTCATGCCTTAGGGAGACCTAGAACTCACCGTTCCCTGATTTCAGGGCCAACACCTGAACCACTCCATCAGAACTAAGTCTCTTAGATGTTCAATCTTCTTAGATGGATTGTTTTTCCTTGATGTACTGAGTAAGGCTGTGCAAATCAGTTCCCGTTCCAACTTTGCATTTCTTCAAAGAACTGGACTTTGACAAAATGCTAACTATTTTCTCTCCTAATTTTTTAAATTGGTTCACTCAAGCAAAAAAAGGAATTAATCACAGAAAATAATCTACTTCTGAATCACTGATAACTATAGGGGGCTCTAGGCAAGCCACAATTACAAGCCTCAGCAATAAAGATTTGAAGAAACCCTGGATCTCACTGAAGTATATGAAAACCTCCTGATGTGTAATGTTTATGTGTAATGCTGTACACATAAAATATTAGTGGGATGTAATAGTCTAAATTCAAAAGGTTTCAAACTTAAAACACTAGTTTCAAATTCAGACCAGAGTTGAACTCAAGAAAAAGTGGTAGATACAGTATAGATAAAGAAAAAAAGTCAAAGAGAGTTTCCAGCCTTTACAGTGATTACAAATTTTTACCATTTTTCTCTTTTTAGAATTATTTATTTATTTATTTATTTATTTATTTATTTATTTATTTATTTATTGGTTCGATTTATATGCCGCCCTTTTCTGGAGACTCAGGGCGGCTTACAATGCGTTAAGCAATAGCCTTCATACTTTTGTATATACCTGCTTAGGGCTTTTGCGCCCCCCCCCCCAAGCGGTGTTCTTTTTTATACAAAGTCAGCTTATTGCCCCCCACAAACCGGGTCCTCATTTTACCTACCTCGAAAGGATGAAAGGCTGAGTCAGCTTGAGCCTGGTGAGATTTGAACTTGCAGTAATTGCAGGCAGCTGGTGTTACTTAACAGTGCTTTAGTCTGCTGCGCCACCAAGTCTCTACAGAATTATATTCTGTAATTCACTTCTCATATTCAACTCTTTTTAATCCACACTTCCAAAGATCTTCAGTTAATTTTTGCCCATTTACAGCAAAACGTTCATAAAAGATTTCCAATCTATACACTACTAAAACTCTTCTTGTAACCTTTAACTGAAATGATGCATTGTAGGGCAAAACCTCCTGAATCAAGTTACTTCAAATAGGCTGATTTACAGAGTGCTTCCAAATAACATAGGCTCTTTTTAAGGCAAATACATCTCTGAATATATCCCAACTTTTCCAGCACATTAGAAGCTTTGTCACTGTTGAAGGCCTTGAGGAATCTGGTAAAGAAATATCTTTGAAAGGATGACCTAGCAGGTCATGGGTTGTGTAGTCTTTTATTAAAACATTGTTTTGTGCCTAATCAAACAAATCAATTTTGTCATTTGTAATTTTGGAAGAAGTCACTTGTGATCTGACTCCCTGAGAACACCAGGTTTATTTTTATAACTGAGAAGAAGTTCTCCATTGTGGAATATGTAATGAGTTCAATTTTCATGTTGTAAATGTGATGATGTGACTCGGAGTGTTAGTGACTCTGCACTAACTGGGAGATCAAACAGTTTCCTGACGAACTTAGCAGACAACTTTGTCATTAAAAGGTAGAGGAGGGAACTAGAACATCAGCTATATTGGGCTTAATTCTCATTAAAGGAATGAAATGATAGGGCAGAAATAATAGGAATCCTGGGGGAGAGTGACCATGTCATATTGTAATTCTTAATACAGGCACAAAAATAGAACAAAGTCAAACAAGTGCCTTAGATTTCAACAATCTAAGAGCTTAGGAAGGATACCATGGATGGAAATCTTAAAGAGGAAAACAATTGAAGATGCTTGGGAAATTCTGAAAAATATGATTATAAAAGCCCAGTCCACCACAATACCACTAAAAAAGAAAAATAAGCAATTCAAGAAGAAACCAGCATAACAGCATAAAGAAAGCTTATAAACTGAAAGACAAAAAGAACAGTGACTAAGTTGGTGGATCAGGCATGTTCTGTGGACATAATCTATTTTGACTTCAAGAAGGCATTTGACAAAGTAGACCACAGCCTACTTCTTAGATAGAAAAGTGTGGGATAGACAGCATCACAGATGGATTTGAACCTGGCTGACCAATCACACTCAGCATGTTGTCCTCAGTGGGGCTACATCTACATGGAGGAAATTAAACAGTGGGAAACTTCAAGATTTTGTCTTGGGCCCAGTGCTCTTCAACATCTTCATAAAAGATGCTAGATGAGGGGATAGAAGGAGAAATAAAATTTGCAGATGATACCATGCTGGGGGGAATTGCTAACACTTTCGAAGAGACACTTATGATCCAGAAAGATCTGTAGGAAGAGCCTGTAGTACAGTGGACTAAAGCACTGTTATTAACATCTGCTTGCAATTACTGCAAGTTCAAATCTCACCAGGCTCAAGGTTGACTCAGCCTTCCATCCTTTCAAAGGTAGGTGAAATGAGGCCCCAGATTGTGGAGGCAATAAGCTGACTTTGTATAAATATACAAAAGTTTGAAGGTTATTGCTTAACGCATTGTAAGCTGCCTTGAGTCTCCGGAGAAGGGCGGCATATAAATTAAAGCAAAAAAAAAAAAAAATCTTGACAGACTTGAATACTGAGTCATATAAAAAATGCAATTCAATAGTAAGAAAATTAAGGTCTTCCATTTAGGTAAAAACCAAGTGCACAGTTATAGAATAGTTAGTACCTGGTTCAACAGCAGTGACTGTGTGAGAGATGTAGGTGTCTTAGTGAACACTTAGGTATAAGCCAGTGTGCTGCAGCTGCCAAAAAAGCCAATGCAGTCCCTGGCTTCATCAACAGATATGGTATCAAGGTCATGCAAACTGATAATACCGCTTTATGCTGCACACTAGTAAGACCACACTTGTAATACATGCAGGTCTGGTCACCACAATACAAAAATATGTTGAGGCTCAAAGAATGCAAAGAGCAACAAAGTGTTAGAGTTCCAAGTAACACCCCCAACGAAATCAATCTCCGAGGCTTGAAATTCCTCAAAGCTAACTTTAATTAGAGATGTCATATTGGCACATCTGGGAAAACCCGAATCAGAGAGCTTCCGGACTTTCCACACCCAAAAGAAAGTTTAAGACCTTGTCCCTCACCTACTTGTCCGCCACACATCCAATCATATACAGTCCGGAACAGAAGACATCCTCCTCTTCTTCTCAGCACAGCTGCAGGACCTCTTGGCCTTGACTTTCTATAAAGAATTTTATTTTGGCTACATATCTTCTTCACTCTATACTATCCCCCCTCCCAACTTCCCACGGTAGGCTTGTGGCAGGCCTGAAGGCACAAAGGGAGAAAGATGGCTTCTAGGTCTGGCACAAAGATGATTAGGGGTCTGGAGGCTAAGTTGTACAATAAACTGTTGTAGGAATTAGGTATGCCTATTCCAGCTAAGAAAAGGACTAGGGTGAAATGATAGCTGGGGGGGGGGGGGTTGTCACAGACAAGACTGGGTTGATCTGTTCTCACAAACACCTGAGGGCACAACAAGTAGAAGGAATGCAGGGAAGATCATTAAAGAGAAATCCAACCTAGAACTAAAGAGAAATTGTTTACCATTAGAATAATTAATCAGTGGAATGGCTTTCCTCCAGAAGTTGTGGGTGCTCAGTTTTCCAAAAAAAGATTGGACCACTATTGGTTCAGAATGGTATAGAGCAGTGATGGCTAACTTTTTTGCCATTGCGTGCCAGGAGAGGGGGGGCGGGGCGGGTCGCGCGCACATGTGCCCACGCGCATGCACGCACAAACACCCCACCCCACCCCACCCTGCTCCTGGCATATGATGGCCTGGTAGGCCCGTTTTTCTTTCTTGCCTGGTTCCAGATCCTCTCTATTTATCTGGGAAGGGCGAAAAAAGCCTTTCCCACTCCCTTGGAGGCCCTACGGAGGCTGAAAGGGCCCATTTCCCAACTCCTGTTGGGACAGGAAGTGACATTTTTTGCTGTCCCCAGCCTCCAGAACCTCTCTAGGAGCCTCTGGAGGCTGGGGACACCAAAAAAAAGGCCAGATATCAGATTGTCAAATCTGCCAAGCAACTGTTCATTTTTTGCCCCAATTCATTAAACAAGTATATTCTTAAATACTGATTTTTGTTTTACAGTTTCAGCTCTTGTTTCCCTCATTGATGACTGTAGTAGAGCAGATAAAGATCCATAAGGTAAGGTAGTCCTGCTGTCTGCCTCTGTTAATGGAAGCCTTATTTGTGGAGCAGATTAATAAAATATACCCTGTTTCCCTGAAAATAAGACATCCCCTGACAATAAGTCCAATCAGGCTTTTGAGCACATGCACTAAAATAAGCCTCCCCCCCCCACCGAAAATAAGCCCTCCCCAAAAATATTTAAACACAGAGCTGGAAATCAGGTAAGATGGCAAGAGGAGCCCCATCTTGTTCCATGCGCCCCAAAATAATAAGACCTCCCCAAAAATAAGGCCAAGCGCTTATTTTGGGGTTCAAAAAAAATATAAGACAGGGTCTTATTTTGGGGGAAACACGGTAGATGTCAGGCCAATAGCTGAGTTGAGGCTGGTTCTTTTCATCTGGATGGAAATGAGAAATGCAAAAGATAAGTTATATTGCTGTTATGGTGGTACAGAGGTTAGAATGCAGCATTGCAGGCTGACTGCCCACAGCCTGGAGTTCAATCATGATGGGGCTTGAGGTTGCCTTCCATCCTTCTGAAGTTATTAAAAAGAGGATCCAGATTATTGGGGGACAACATTGTAAGCCGCCCAGAGAGTGCTGTAAGGCATGTGGGGCAATATCAGGGGTGAAATGCTCCCAGTTCGGACCAGATCGCCCGATCCGGTAGCAATGGGAGTGTATGGTTCGGAGAACCGGTAGCAAAAATTTCTGCCTTTCTCCATGCCCAGCTGAGCCACACAATCATCAGAGGCTTTTTTTTTTACTTTTAAACGCATTTTTTCTACAACCCCTTCGGCTGAAAAAATGCTTTTAAAAGTTAAAAAAAAAAGCCTCTGATGATCGTGCGGCTCAGCTGGGATCACCAAAGGCTTTTAAAAGAAAAAAAACCTCTGCCGATCAGGCAACTCAGCTTGGATCGTCAGAGCCTTTTGAAAGCATTTTTTTACAAGCTTTAAAATGCTTTTAAAGGTTTAAAAAAAAATTGGCCACACCCACCCAGTCACATTACCCCCCCCCCCCCCGCACCAAGCCACGCCCACAGAACTGGTAGTAACAAATTTTAGATTTCACCACTGGGCAATATATAAGTCTAAGTGCTGTTTTTATTTGCAGAAATGTAAAAAGAGAGGTAGTAAATGCAGCTGATTGTTGTTGGCTGCTGCAGATGTTCTGGAAAGTAGTTGGTGCTTGGGCACCTTTGGTTTTCTGTCCTGCAAGTTATTAATCTGAATTTGTTTCTTTGGCAGATTCATGGTTGTCAGATCTTGGAGACAGTCTACAAATACAGCCGTGGTGGCTTGCCACCGGTGCGTCATGCGCTGGAGAAGTAAGGAACTACCATTCTGGTGGCCTTTAGCTGTATCCCAGTAATCCCACCCACCCACCCACCCAGGCACAAGCATAAAGCTGCTTTCAGTGGCATTTCTTACCAGTTCTCCAATAAATGGCTAAATTCAGAGCATCTGGAATTCAGGGGCTTCATTTGGAAAGTGTAGCTGCCCAAGGAGGAAATTGTTGTGGCCCCGCCCTCTGAGCCTGTCCCATCGGAGGAAGAAAGCTCCGAGCATGAGGAAGAGGAGTCAGCCAGGCCTCCCTCTCCAGGCCCCTCCCCTCTGGCATTGTCTCAAGTGCCGGCCGAGGGAGAGGAGACAACTGATTCGGATCAGAGTGATAAAGAAACATCATTCCTGGACGCACGCCTCCGAAGGCGTGATAAACGTTTGCAGCAGCTTAGGAGATTAGAACTGAGTCACTGGACCACACCCCAGAGACTATATAATAGAGGGTGGTGGTCAAGGATCCTTGTGACGAACAAAGCAAACCTTGGATAGTCACTAAAGCCTCGTCCGGAACTGCTGAGAGAAAGATTTAAAGTGTCGGACATTTGGACTCTTGAGTATTTATCTTTCTGTTTTACTTTGAAAATAAAGTCACTTGGCAGACGGTGTGTCTATCGCTGCCAAGTGGGAGATAAGACCTGGGTGTTATCCAAAGTCCAAAGTGTTTCCTTAACCCTCGACTGGCTGTGTTTGGGTGTGTGTGGGTACGGGGACAGATCAGAAATCCTGTCTGGCTGCCGGTTCCATTTGCTGCCCATCACATGAAGTTGAGTGTCTCCTGAGCTTTTTCTTCCTTTTGCATCCCTCCAGGGTCTTGGCCATGTGCCATGCCGTTCTCTACAAACAGCTCTCTGCCTGGATGCTGCATGGGTTGCTCTTGGACCAACACGAGGAGTTCTTCATCAGGCAGGGCCTCTCCCTGGGGCTCACCCCAGCCCAGACGGAAGAAGAAGACGATGATCTGGGCATTGGAGGACTCACAGGGAAGCAGCTGCGAGAGCTGCAAGATATGGTGAGATTGAGCTCCTGCAAGAGAGATGACACATGTGCAAGTCTAGACTTGCACAAAATTATGCATTTTGAACCAACTGATATTTTTCTGATTCTGGATACTTTTCAAGGGCCCATGAAGTCCCATGTAGAGTGCATTGCAGTAGTCAAGTTGGTAGGTGACTAGGGGAGTGAATGACTGTGAACAGGGATTGTTGGTCCAGGAAAGGCGTAACCAGCACACAATCTACAGTTGCCAAATGTCCTCCTAGCCACAGCTGCAACCTGCTCCTTGAGCAGGAGTTATGAGTTAAGGAGAACCCCCCGAATTATGCTCCAGGTTTATCTGGAGTTGTGCCACCCCATCCAAGACCAGAGATGGCAATTCTCCATGGACCAAAGAACCCTGAACCCAGAGCCATTCCGTCTTGCCAGGGTTCAGTTTCAGCCTGTTGCTCCATTAACAGCCTCCAGGCACTGTGAGAGGGCGGTCATGACGTTGCCTAACTCACCATGGACCGATGCATATGGCTGGATGTCTTCTGAATGCTGATGATGCCTCACCCTATGGTGATGGCTGATCTCACCCAACAACTTCATGTAGATGTTAAACAGAAGCAGAGAAAGTCCCTAACCTTGCAAAGACTCTGCAAAGCCAAGAGCCTCTCGTTTCCTATCAGCATCAACAGAGAGTGTCCACAGAGGAAGGAAGTGAACCAGGACAACTCATTTCCATTTCCCAAAGCCATGCTAAAAGGGTACCTAATAGCCATTGATCCCCAAGACTTCTATGAATTGCTTCACCTTTTCTTTGAAGCCAGCCAAACTGGCAGCGGGCACCAGATCTCATGGGAGGAGTGAATTCCAAAGCAAATTCGTATATTCCTTTTGTCTGTTGGGTTTTTAATTTCATATGGTGGTCTGATATTTTGGGAAGGAAAAACTGCCCAGGTTGTTCACACCATGCAAAGTTTTATACATCTCAGTCATGTCCCCTTTCTAAACTAAAAAAACCTCCAAAGGTCATAGAGTTTCCAACCCCAGATTCTTCTCATTGCCTTCCCCTGAACCTTCTCTAGCTCCACCATATTCCAGATGCGGTCACCCCACTGGTTTATATAAGGGCCTCGTGTTATGGTTATCTCAACTTTCAATGCTGTTTCTTATCCCTGCTGGTCTTTTTTGGATGCATGCTTTTGTTAGCATTCCATTGAACCTCAAGATCCCTTTTTTCATCCTTGTTAGCTCTGGTCCCATTAGAACTCTAGTTTATTCTGCAAAAAGAGTTTTACTGTGGCAGAACATCCAAGGTACAAATTAAAATAACCATAATGTCATTGAACGCAGCAGCAATTATAAATCTTAGTCTTCCTGGGTACCTATCTCCCTGGATCTTGAGAATTTCAAGGAGCAGATAATCAGGGCTTCCTTTGCTCCCTGATGCCTCATTTTTAACTTGGTGAAGTCTAATCCTGGGGCCACAATTGAGTACCTGCTGACCTTGGGCTAGTTAGCCACGGGGGTTGTGCCCTGCGGTTGCAAGAATGTCCAGCCTTTCAGACATCCTGATACAGAAAAACGTTTGGCCTCTGCTGACACACACCTTGCAGGGAATGCTGATGGTGGGTCATGGGTCCCTGGAACCACACGTGGGAATTTCCACAGGACTGCCCACGAGTCTCTAACAAAGTTGCTGCTGCTTCCCGAGTTGCCAGTCCCCGTCCAATTGCTGTTTGTTTCATTCTGGGTTAGCAAGCCAGCTGCCAATTACCACTCCCTTTGTAGGAATTTTGTCTGCTTTCCAATTTTGTGCAAATACAATTCTTGCTGCCGTTATTACATGTATAATCAAATATATATTTTCTTTACTAAATTTCTCCGGTAAGATACCCAACAGGAACAGCTCCGGTTTAAAATCAATATGTTGCTGTGTAATTTTCTCTAACCATATTTGAATTTTTGCCCAATAATTTCTCGCTTCTGGACATGTCCACCACAAATGATAATACAATCCCGGTGTCTGGTGGCATTTCCAGCATTTAGTTGATTTATCTTTAAACATTTTTGCCAATCTTTCTGGTGACATGTGCCATCTATAAAACATTTTATACAAGTTCTCTTTATGTGCTGTAGCCATTGTTAATTTATAATTTCTTTCCCATAGTTGCTGCCATTTATCTAATTCTATTGTAAATCCAAAATTTTTTGCCCATGCTATCATTATTTCTTTTACTTGTTCTTCTTCTAGTTTAACACCAAGTAAATAACTGTTGAATTTTTTTATCATTTTCTCATCTGTTCCTGTGAGTATCTCATCCAATTCTGTCATCTCCAAGTAAAAACCATATAACTTTGTTTGCATCTTTTTCATATCTCGATTGTATTTGCAGTTGTGTATACCATTCCATATCAATCCCTTGTTTTACTAGTTCTTGTTTCATTTTCAGTTCCTCCTTTTCTGATAAAATATCTTTATATCTGATAATATTTCCCATATTAATAATATTTGGATGTATTAATGTATTAATTCCATTGTTGAAAGCCATGTTGGTATTTTCAAATAATGTTTTTCTCTAACCTTCTCCCATACTAATAATAAAGCATTCCTTACATAACGTCTTTGAAAATAACTATGCATCTTATTTTTCCCGTACAAGCATGCCAACCTAATTGTAAGTTGTGCCCCTCCAAAGTCAATAGCCTTGTATTTCTTAATACAATCCATTCTTTCATCCATGATAGTGCTGCTTGGTAATATAATTCCCAGTTTGGTAGTCCAAATCCTCCCCTCAGTCTTGCATCTTATAACATTTTCATATTGATTTTCACTTTTTTCCCTTGACATATAAATTTCAATATCATTCTATTCAAGTCTTCAAAATATTTTTTCCAGTTTTATCAGTATTGTTTGAAATAAAAACAACAATCTTAATTACTGCTATTCTTTCCATTAATGATAATTGCAATTTTTTCCATCTTTCCAAATCGTCTCAATTTGTCCTTTCAATTTATAGTAATTATCTTCTTTAATTGTTACATACCTTGCTGTTCATTGTATTCCTAAATACCTTACCTTTTTAGTAATCTGAATATCTAGTTTCTCCACTAAATCCCTTTTCTGTTTCTCTGTAATATTTTTCACCAATATTTTTGTTTTATCTTTATTAATTTTCAACCCTGCCATCTTTCCATATTCTTCTATTTGTTCTATCAGTCTGGGTCCTACTTCTTGGGGCTCCTTTAAAATAAACACTAGATCATCTGCAAATGCTTGTAGTTTGTATTCTTCTTTTTTAATTTTCATCCCTTTTATCTCTTCATACCAATAACAATGGGGATAGAAGACATCCCTGCCTTGTTCCTTTCATAATATTAACCTTCTCTGTCATATCTCCATTTATTATTACCTTTGCAGATTGCTTACTATAAATTGCCTCAATCATATTTATAAATCTTCCCCCAAAATCCATACTCTGCAATTGTTTTATCATAAATTGCCAGTTCATATTATCAAAAGCCTGTGCATTGAGAAACATCAATGCCATTTGCTTTTCTGGGGTGCTTCGTAATATTCCAGAGTATTTAAAATTATCCTCATATTGTCTCTAATCTGTCTCTTTGGTAAGAAACAATTTTGATCTGTATGAATAAATTCATTTAACAACCTCTTCAATCTATTTGCCATTATTGATGCAAATATTTTATAATTCGCATTTAACAAGGAAATCGGTCTATAGTTTTTAACTTGTTGTAAGTCTATCAAGAATTGGGTATTTTTGGCCATCTTCAAAGTCCATTCTTCAATAGTAGGCAGTTTTGCTGAGATGGCGAAGATTTCAGCATGCTTAAAAGATCGGACACAAGAGACTTATGTATGGGAGCGGAAAAAGTGGATAGATTATGTGCAGAATAAATATCAAACTAGGAAATATCAGATAGCTTTTAACTGAAAGTATTATATAGGGATAGAATAATTGAACTTTGTGAAGATGTGGAAAATATACGGGGTGGAGGGGTTCAAGTTTTATAAAAAGTGATTTTGATATGGATTATATTTTGTGGAAGTCCTGGGGGGATGGGAGGGCTAGGGGGGGATAGGGAGGGTTGGGGGGGTAATTGGGGAGAAAATGTATTTGTAAAACTTTTTCAATTAAAAAAAAAAAAGAATTGGGTATTTTTGCATTTACTAAGAATTCATTGAATACTTCCAACATTGTATTACTAAATACGTCCTGTAATATTTTATATAACTCTGTTGGCAAACCATCTGGACCCGGTATTTTACCATTCTTTTGTTTTTTAATCCCCTCTGTTAATTCCATCATCGTTATCTTTTCTTCCAAAGCCTTTTTGTATTTTTCTGGTATTTTAGGTAATTCAGACTTTTCTAAATATTGCTTTATCTCCTCTCCTGATATTGTCTCTTGTTTATATATATCTAGTGTATACCCTGAATATCTCATCAATCCCATTTAATATTTTTTCTTTAGTTTCCTCCATCGCTTCCGCCAATAACTCTGCCATAACTTCAGCCAGATTCTCCCCCTTCTCTTCTTCTATATTTTGAAATCTTAAATAATAATCTGCACAATCCATTTCAAGGGAAATAATTGTCTTTCCTGATTTTTATCAATTGTTGTAAGTCTATCATCCATCTCTCCCACTCTTTTCTGTTGATTCTGCTTTTTCTTCCACTTTTTGTATTCTTTCTTCATTCTTTCCAATCATCTCCTTGACATCTTTAAGATCCCCTTCTACTTTTTCCATTCTCTCATCCAGTTTATTTATTCTTTCTTTAAAATCTTCATGTAAGACCTGTATCATATTTTTTAATTCCAATTGCATGGCCATAGTGTCCAATGTTCTCTGAGCTGCAGGGCTTGAAGTTTTAGCTGTGGAAAGTAATTGTGTTGTTGTCTTCTTCATCTTGTCACGTCTTAATACTGGTGGATCCACCAGGCTTGTAATCCAAGTACAGCTTTAATTTATAATCCAAATATCTAATCCACCCCGTTGAATGGATTAGCAAAAAGAGAGATGGGGGGGGGGAATTGAAATGCTCAATCAACCCAAAAACCAAAAATGAAAGGGAAGAAGAAAGGAAAACAAAATAAAAACCAAAACCAAAAACTCCAAAACTTCTTATTCCTCAGGTTCTTCTTACCTTAATCCAAATTTTAAAACATCCAGAAAACCAACCAGCCAAAAGAAAAAACAATAAAAGAGAAGAAAAAAATTATCCACAAATGTAAAAAGACCAAAAAGAAAAAGCAATCCCAACTCTGATTCCAAAGAAAAATAAAAAAGGAGAAACGAAAAATCAACAATTGGAGTTAGAGTTTAGAGTTTATTGGATTTCTATACCACCCTTCTCCCAGGGGACTCAGGGCGGTGTACAGCCACGTTAAAACACATGAATTTATAAAATTTAAAACCAATTAAAACAAATATATACAATTTGGCCCTCAATTAAAACACACATACACCCACTTAAAATTCATATTAGGCCAGTCCGGCTTGCTGAAACAGGAAGGTCTTTAGGGCACGGCGAAGAGTACGCAGGTCGGGGCTAAGACGAAGCTCTAGGGGCAGTTCATTCCAAAGGGCTGGTGCCCCCACAGAGAAGGCTTTCCCCCTGGGTGTCGCCAGTTGGCATTGTTTGGCCGACGGCACCTTGAAGAGCCCCTCTCTATGGGAGCGTATTGGCCGGTGGGAGGTTGTTGATGGCAGAAGGCGGTCTCGTATGTATCCCGGTCCTAAGCCATGGAGCACTTTAAAGGTGACCAACACCTTGAATCGCACTCGGAAGACCAACGGGAGCCGGTGCAGCTCACGCAGGAGGGGTGTTACATGGGCGCGCCGAGTCTCACCTATAACCACTCGCACGGCCGCATTCTGGACCAGCTGGAGCCTCCGAGTGCTCTTCAAGGGGAGCCCCATGTAGAGAGCGTTGCAGTAGTCCAGTTGGGATGTGACGAGGGAATGAGTGACTGTGTGCAGGGCATCCTGGTCCAGAAAGGGACGCAACTGGTGCATCAGGTGAACCCAATAGAAAGCTCCCCTGGCCATGTCTGTCATGTGCTCTTCCAAAGACAGCCGTGCATCCAGGAGAACACCCAGGTTGTGAGCCCTCTCTGTGGGGGCCAAGATCTCACCCCCAATAGTCAGCGATGGCACCAGCTGACTATACCGGGATGCCGGGAGCCACAGCCACTCAGTCTTGGAAGGGTTGAGTTTGAGCCTGTTTCTCCCCATCCAGATCCGCACGGCCTCCAGGCACTGGGACATCACGTCAAGGGCATCATTGGGGTGGTTCGGAGTGGAGATGTACAGCTGAGTGTCGTCAGCAGAGCAAAAAAAAAAAATTGCTAAAAGTCCCAAACCAGAAACAAAGAGAGAGAAAAAAAACTCGCAGTCAAGGCTATATGCAAAATGTCAACAATCTTTCCTATGCTGCTTTTTGCACAAACTTCAAAAGGCAATGTATGTTAAAGATAACACTCTCAATATGCAGCTCTCCACCAGGCACACTAGTTTCTTATCAGTTCAACAGTCTCAAGGCCTTATTCAGTTTATTCAAAACAATGTCTTTTCACTGGTACCTCTAGATGGCGCTGCAACAGGAGTGGGTTCTACTTACCTTTACTACCAGTTCGCAATGGGATCGCTGTTCGAAAAGAAATATATATTTAAAAAGCAAGCTTTTCACCCAGATGATTCCACTTCCTTTACTTCTCCGCTTCAGATGTGACTGCCCCAGCTTCTTAGTGGCACATTCAATGGCTGCTTTCTCAGTCGTCTGGTTGAGAGGCTTCTTCCAACTAGCCAGGGAATTTCCGGCTTCCCTGTGCTCTCCAGTCAGTGCCTCTCTTGTTCACCGTCCCTACAGGATGGCTTCGGTCAATAAAGACCCCCAAATGGCTGCAACGTCAACGATTTTTCAGGAGCCCCCCCCCAAAAAAGTCTTGCCGCAATGCTGACCACGCCCCCCCCCTCCCATGAAAGAGCATGTCGATATTTAAGGGGAGGAACAGAAATGAGGAGTGGAAGGGGAAGTACAGGACGTTCTCACTTCCTTGTAATTTTTAGAAGAGAATTAAGGGAGGAATAAACTTTGTTCCAAAAAATAACTTTATGCAAGTTTTGAGGGATTCTGGAAGTGGTCTGAAAGCAACCTTTGTTGCCATCTCTTTCTCTCGCCCCCACCCCCACCCCCACCTCCCGCCCACAGAGTCCAAAAGGATTTCAGAACTCAGCATGTTTAAAAAACACCTTCCAGGGCAATGGGAACAAGGGCAAAATGGCAATATTTCCCCCTCAAACTTAGCATTGTTTCTCCCAGTCCCTGAACTCTTAAATTAAGAGAGAGATTCCTCCTGTCTTGGGCATCCCTCCCAAGCCTTCTAAAAAGCTGGATGTTCCATCCGTGACTCTTGGGTTTGTGTTAGAATCAATTTTTATTTCTCCCTCCCACCAACCTTGTTTCAACAGAGGCTAATTGAGGAAGAGAATATGTTGGCCCCTTCTCCAAAACAGTTCTCTCTGCGGATGGAGATGCTGCCTTCCTACATTCCAGCTCGTGTCGCTGAAAAAATCCTCTTTGTAGGGGAATCTGTGCAGATGTTTGAGAGTCAGAATGTAACTCTTACCAAAAAAGGTACTGTGATTGGCTGTGATTTCTTCCATGTGAGCTAAGAATGATTGTGGGCTGGTTTGGCAGATGGTTTGTATGCTGGTTGTGGGAATCCTTTCCTGCCAGCCCTTGTACCCGTCTTCTCAAGGCTGGGCTATAAGCTAAGCAGTCTGGGCAACCCTTCTCAATATATAGGCCAGGCTTACTCCTGTTTTCCTTATCCCGAGTGGACCATCAGGGATGAGCAGAACCTGAAAGTGGTCCCTTGAGATCTGTCTGAATTGGATCAGTGATCCAGGTTACAAGAGGCCTCTCTGACTAGAAGATCAAAGAAAGATCCTTTGCAGCCCATTTCAGCCATTCACCTTTATGAAGTTTTTCCTCTCTTTCTGATGCTGTTCTACATAGCTGCCCCCCACCTCCGCCCCCGGAGGGTAGTGCATTTTCTTTCTTTTACATTTTTGAAGTTTTTTCTTTTTCTGCAATGTAAACTAAACCATACTAATTCCCATGACAATGTACACCTCTCCTTGTTGCTGTTTCTGGGTTCTTGTCTGAGCTAATGTGTTCACGCAGCCTTCTATTACACATACAAGATCTTGAGAAGAGGGCAAAGCCTCCATGGAAATCTCTTCTCTCACAGGCTCCATCCTGAAGAACCAGGAGGAGACTTTTGCTGCTGAGCTGCATCGTCTCAAGCAGCAGCCCCTCTTCAATCTGATGGACTTTGAGTCAGTGGTTGACTGGATCCGGAGCACTGTGGCTGAGGTCAGGCAAAGGACCCTTAGGAAGCTTTTCATGACCGAGAGAAGTTCTAGAAGAACTTCTATGGGCAGGATGGGGCTGCCCATCCTGCCAGAAGGGAGGCGGGGGGGACCTTGCACAAGGAATGAGCAGGGAGAGGAGCTTTGGGTGGCACATTTGCAGTTGGGTGCAGTTTCTGGATCTTGATGCTGGGGCTTTTCTCTTTCCTAAGCACTTATGGAAGCTGATGGTGGAAGAGTCCGACTTGATAGGCCAGTTGAAGGTAAATAGGTCTTCCTGTAGCTTGTGAGGTCCCGTTTCCCAATGGAAGGAAGTTGCTGAACAGGATGGCTTTCATGTCGTTGCCTTTCTTCTAGATCATTAAAGATTTTTACCTATTGGGGAGAGGAGAATTGTTTCAGGCCTTTATTGATACTGCACAGCACATGCTAAAGACACCACCATCTGCAGTGACTGAGCATGGTGAGTCTCTCCGTCTCTGAAAAGGTCCTGCGGCTTGAAATGCTCCTTGAGTGGCATTTCTGGCAGGCTGGACTCCCAGAATCACAGTTTCAAATGCACCCTGTGTTGTTATCTAAGCCTGGACAGACAGATGCAGAGGAGAGAAGCAGAATTGTTTGGCCTCTGAGAGCTACTGTGTGAAAAGGGGGAGGCAGCAAAAGGCCTATTTTCCTTCTGCCCCCCCCTCCCCCCATTGAAAGGCATCTGTTCCTTCCCTCAGATGTGAATGTGGCATTCCAGCAGTCGGCCCACAAAGTGCTCTTGGATGACGACAACCTCCTGCCTTTTCTTCACCTGACCATCCATTACCATGGAAAGGAACACCGAGGTGGGTGTTGGTGCAAGAGGCTGGACGCCACATTGGGGAGTTCAAAATGGGAGCAGAAAGCTGCATTAAGCCATTGCTTCAGTTTTTCCTCAAAGGTGGCAAGCATCACAGCTGGCTGAGCAGACCTTCAGAGCTCTTGGCAGGAGAGGCTACAGGAGCCCCCCCCCCACGCCCCCCCCCCCCTGGCATGGACCTCAGCTGCGGCCTTCACTTGTCCAGCTGCCTCTGGCCTTCAATCCAAGTTGTTGATTGGCTTCCTTTTCAGACCCTTCCCAGAACCGGGAAACCCCTTCTCGAGAACTGTCTCCTCATGAGTCCCCCACTTCCGGCTGGGCTGCCTTGGGGCTCTCCTACAAAGTTCAGTGGCCTTTGCACATCCTTTTCACACCTGCCATCCTGGAAAAGTGAGCGCTGCCTTCTCTGGGAAGTGGGAGGGGGCCTGCTGCTGTCCTGGGAGCTTTGTGACCCGGGGCTCAGCCCAGCTGACTCTTGGCTGCAGGTACAACGTGGTCTTCAAATACTTGCTGAGTGTGAGGCGAGTCCAGGCCGAACTGCAGCACTGCTGGGCTCTGCAGATGCGGTGCAAGTGCCTAGAATCCAGGCGAACGGATGCCATCAAGTGGCGGCTGCGCCATCACATGACTTTCCTCGTGGACAATTTGCAATATTACCTGCAAGTAAGTGTCTGCCAGGGCGTCTGAAAAAGGCCCAAACAGCTCAGCTGCTTTGTTCTCAGCTTTTTCTGCTGACAGCTGCTGGCTGAAATTGCTCTCACAACTTCTTACCAGTTTTTCTCTACTTTTTCTTGACCCTCGGTGCTAAAAGTAGTGCTTCTGGTTTGCTTTCTTTCAGGTGGATGTCCTTGAGTCTCAGTTCTCACAGCTCCTTCAGCAGATCAACTCCACCCGTGATTTTGAGAGTATCCGACTGGCTCACGATCACTTTTTGAGCAACCTCCTGGCCCAGTCTTTTATTCTCTTGAAACCGGTAAGTGTAGGTTATCATCAGCCGTTTCCCCTCTTGGATCCTTGGAATGTGTCCCCTTGGTCAGTGCATGCAAACTTGCAGGAAATATGTGGAAGGGTGGCATGCCCGTCTTTAGCCCATTCATCTCCCCAGTGTAGGTGATTGATTTAGTGGAGTGGTTGGGTAATTGGTTCCCCTGAAGAACTGCTCTTCCTGTTAAGATTTTTTTCCTGAATATTTAACTGGAATCAGCCTTCCAGCAACTTTAGTCCATTATTCCATCTTCTGTCCTCTCATGATAGAAAACAGATTTATACCACCTTTGGTTACTGATATCCTGGTAGGTACTTGAAGAAGTGCCCTTCTGTCTCACCCCAGTTTTCCTTGTGGCTCATTTCGAGGTCATCTGTTCTAGCAAGTTTGAATCCTTTACAGTTGAATGAACACTCACTCAAACTAGGAGTTATCGATTCAAAATTAAGTGGGATGATTAAGCCCTGTAATTTAGGAATTAGTTCTGTTGATATAGTCTAAAGTTGCATTTGCCCTTTTGCAGCCATATCAGGGCTGCTGGTTCAGTTTGCAATTAGCTAGTCTTCCAGATCTTTTTCATAAGTATATTTATATTTATATTTTATTGGATTTCTATACCGCCCTACTCCCGAAGGACTCAGGGCGGTGAACAGCCATAGAATAAAACACATAAATACAAAAATTTAAAATTGGCTGAACAAATTTAAAATACCCCATAATTTAAAAACAAATTAAAATTTACATTCAAAAAGGGGAGAAGATTTAGGCCAGGCCAGCTTGATGAAATAAAAAAGTCTTAAGCGCGCGACGGAAGGTGTGCAGATCCGGGATCCTCCGTATCTCTGGGGGGAGCTCGTTCCAGATCGTAGGTGCCCCCACAGAGGAGGCTCTCCCCCTAGGGGCCGCCAGTCAACATTGTTTGGCCAACAGCACCCGGAGGAGCCCCTCTCTATGGGAGCGTACTGGCCGGTGGGAGGCTATTGGTGGTAGCAGGCGGTCCCGTAGATAACCAGGTCCTAAGCCATGGAGCGCTTTAAAGGTGATAACCAAAACCTTGAAGCGCACTCGGAAGACCACCGGGAGCCAGTGCAGCTCGCGCAGGAGAGGTGTTACATGGGAACTCCACGTCGCTCCCATAACCACCCGTGCGGCCGCACTCTGCGCCAGTTGGAGCCTCCGAGTGCACCTCAAGGGGAGCCCCATGTAGAGAGCGTTACAATAGTCCAGACGAGAGGTGACAAGGGCATGAGTGACTGTGCGTAGGGAGTCCCGATCTAGAAAGGAACGCAACTGGCGAATCAGGCGAACCTGATGAAAAATCCTCCTGGTCACGGCCATCAAGTGCTCTTCTAAAGACAGCCGTGAATTCAGGAGGACGCCCAAGTTGCGGGCCCTTTCCGTGGGGGCCAATGATTCGCCCCCAATAGTCAGTGATGGCACCAGCTGACTATATTGGGACGTCGGAAACCACAGCCACTCTGTCTTGGATGGGTTGAGCCTGAGCCTGTTTCTCCCCAGATCCGTACGGCCTCCAGGCACCGGGACATCACTTCAAAGGCATCGTTGGGGTGGTCCGGGGTGGAGATGTACAGCTGGGTGTCGTCAGCGTACTGATGGTACTTCACCCCGAAACCACGGATGATCTCGCCCAGCGGCTTTACATAAATGTTGAACAAAAGGGGCAAGAGGACCGATCCCTGCGGCGCCCCACATATGAGGGGCCTCGGGGTTGACCTCTGCCCCCCTGTCAACACAGACTGCGACCGGTTGGAGAGAAAGGAGGAGAACCACCGTAATACGGTGCCTCCCACCCCCAACTCTTCCAACCAGTGCAAGCATGATACCATGGTCGATGGTATCAAAAGCCGCTGAGAGATCTAACAGGACCAAGATAGAGGAGCAACCCCTGTCCTGAGCCCTCCAGAGATCATCAACCAACGCGACCAATGCCATTTCCATGCTGTACCCAGGCCTGAAACCCAACTGGAACGGATCCAGATACAACGTTTCATCCAGGTACTGGGGAAGCTGTCGCGCAACCACACTCTCAACAACCTTCGCCACAAAGCGAAGGTTGGAGACTGGACGATAATTAGCCAATACTGCCGGGTCCAGGGAGGGCTTCTTGAGGAGAGGCCTCACCACCGCTTCCTTCAAGGGGAAGAAGACACCCTCGCCCAATGAAGCATTTATAATCCCCTGGAGCCAGCCTCGCGTCACCTCCCGGGAAGCCAGCACTAACCAGGAGGGACACCGGTCCAACAAACATGTGGTCACGTTCAATCTACCCAGAATCCTGTCCACGTCATCTGGGGTCACAGGATCAAACTCATCCCAGATGTCCCTCCTGGTTGGTACTGGCCTCCCGGGAGGTTACACGAGGCTGGCTCCAGGGGATTATAACTGCTTCTCTGAGTGAGGGTGCCTTTCCCGCCGCCTTGAAAGAGGCGGTGGTGAGGCCCCTCCTCAAGAAGCCTTCCCTGGACCCGGCTGAATTAGTTAACTACCGTCCGGTCTCCAACCTTCGTTTTGTGGCGAAGGTTGTTGAGAGTGTGGTGGCACGACAACTGCCCGGGCACCTGGATGAAGCTATCTATCTCGACCCGTGCCAGTCGGGCTGCAGGCAGGGGCACAGCACAGAAACGGCATTGGTCGCGTTGGTGGATGATCTCTGGAGGGCTCGGGACAGGGGTTGCTCCTCTGTCCTAGTCCTATTAGATCTCTCAGCGGCTTTTGATACCATCGATCATGGTATCATGCTGCGGCGGTTGAGAGGGTTAGGAATAGGGGGCACCGTTCTGCGGTGGTTCTCCTCCTTCCTCTCCGACCGCTCGCAGTTCGTGTTGGCAGGGGGGCAGAGGTCGACCTCGAGGCATCTCGCATGGGGAGTGCCACAAGGGTCGGTCCTCTCGCCCCTTCTGTTCAACATTTATGTGAAGCCACTGGGTGAGATCATCCGTGGTTTTGGGGTGAAGTGTCATCTGTACGCTGATGATACTCAGCTGTATATCTCCACCCCAGACCACCCCAACGATGCCCTTGATGTGATGTCTCGCTGCCTGGAGGCCGTGCGGGTCTGGATGGGGAGGAACAGGCTCAGACTCAACCCGTCCAAGACCGAGTGGCTGTGGCTGCCGGCGTCCCGATATAGTCAGCAGGTGCCATCGCTGACTATTGGGGGTGAATCTTTGCCCCCCACAGAGAGGGCTCGCAATCTGGGTGTCCTCCTGGACGCACGGCTGTCTTTAGAAGAGCATATGACGGCCGTGGCCAGGGGGGCCTTTTATCAGGTTCGCCTGATCCGCCAGTTGCAGCCCTTTCTGGACCGGGACGCCTTGCGCACGGTCACTCATGCCCTTGTCACCTCCCGGCTGGACTATTGTAATGCTCTCTACATGGGGCTCCCCTTGAAGAGCACTCGGAGGCTCCAACTGGTCCAGAATGCGGCCGCGCGGGTGGTTATGGGCGCAACTCGTTGTGCCCGTGTGACACCCCTCCTGCGCAAGCTGCACTGGCTCCCAGTGGTCTTCCGGGTGCGATTCAAGGTGTTGGTTACCACCTTTAAAGCGCTCCATGGCATAGGACCCGGGTACCTTCGAGACCGTCTTCTGCCACCAATAGCCTCCCACCGACCAGTCCGTTCCCACAGAGAGGGTCTCCTCAGGGTGCCATCAGCCAAGTTATGTCGGCTGGCGACACCCAGGGGGAGGGCCTTTTCTGTGGGAGCCCCAGCCCTGTGGAATGAACTGCCCCCAGAAATACGCAAGATCTCCGACCTCCGAGTGTTTCGTTGCGCACTGAAGACCCTGTTGTTCCGCCAGGCAGGGCTATCAACTTAATAATTTTAATTGGGGTATTTTAAATGTTTGGGGTTTTAAATCGGCCAAATCTATGTAATTATTTTAATTTTTAATTATTGTTGTGTGTTGTGTTTTTAAATTGGCTGTACACCGCCCTGAGTCCTTCGGGAGAAGGGCGGTATAGAAATAAAATTATTTATTTATAAATTATTTATAACATTCTCAAGACCTGCCTCCGTCACCCTCGCTGGACCTATCCAGTCGGAGTCCAGACCTTCCCGAATCTGAGTGATTTTGTCATGCAGATATGATTGCCCAGCTGGATATTTTCCCATTCAAAAACTGCATTTGATTTCTAACATTCAATATTATTGTAAGGACCTGCCTCAGCTACCTTCTCAAGAAAGTAAAACTCTTGATGCGGTTTGCATTTCAAAAGGAACCTTTACTGACAGATAGTGATTGCAGAAAAGTCAGGTGGAATATGAAATTCACATGTGAAGCATTAGGCTAACTTTCCCCTTCAACCCCCACCCCAGCACCCCGTGTGTTCTAAGGAATTTAGTGTCCCATCAGTTTTGTACTGTCTATAGATTTGATAAGTATTCTCTCCATAATTCTAATCCAAGTTGTTAAAGAAGTGTTGAGTTCACAACCCAGAGCTGAATTAATTCATATTTTCATTGGTAAAATTAGTTTAGAATAACAGTTAAAACAACTGTGGGAAGATAAATGAATACATAATATAGCTACTTCTGATAATTATTTTGTAGGCTTTTCACTGCCTGAATGAAATTTTAGATCTCTGCCATAGTTTTTGTTCATTGGTCAGCCAGAACCGAGGGCCCCTGGATGAACGGGGTACAGCCCAGCTGAGCATCCTAGCTAAGGTAAGTACACACACACACTCACATACAATCACACACACTCACATACACACACAGATACACACTGAAGAGGCACACATAGCAGCCCTAGTGCAATTGTGCTCTTGTGATTTCACCCGGGCTGCTTTTGAACATTCCAGATTCTGATTAAAATATCCAGGTGCTTTCAGTAAAGAATGCAGGGAGCTGTTTGGTTTCTAAGTGTGGAGCCAAAGGCCCCTTTGCTGTTCAGATGTTCTCTCCTATTTCAGCAGAGGATCCTGGAGGACTCTATTGAAAGGGGGAGGGGGACCTTTTGAATGTCCCCATCCAGCCCAGTGGAAAGGCCGGGGTGGGCGTGTGCAATGATCTCAATTCATGGGGAGGAAAGGGGATGGGCTTGCAGATGAGCATGCATGCTGGCTGTCCTTCCAAGGGTCTTTCACTGGAATTGCAGGAGCCGAGGCAAAGAAGAGGCTGCTTTAAGGAGCAGCTGGAAAGATGAAGTGTGTCTGCATCACCTAAATCCGCTTTCCCTTTTGGCATCCCTGCCGCTCTTGGCTTAAATTGGGATACTCTGGGTTTGGCATTTGGGGAGGGGGGTGAATCTTGGGGAATCCTAGGTGAGGGGCCTTTTCAGATTTGACAGCAAGAAGAACAGCAGTGAAAGATTGCAGTAAAGGAAAGAGGATGCTTGACTCCCCACACCTTAATTTAACAAAGTCTGCAATGCATCATTATCAGTTTTCAAGCAGAATTTTCTACCCACTCCTCTTGCCTTTCAGGGTGGCTCCCCTTTGCTTTTAGAAAGTTATACCCCCCCCCCCCCCCAAATAAGGCATTCTTTTATTTGGGGCTCTGCCTGATTTGCACACATGCTCTTTAGAGACATTTTTCATTTTGAAAAGAGGGTGGTCCTTGCTCAGCCCACCTCCCCATTTAAGGCTAACTCCACCCCCCACCCCCATGTAAAAGATCCCCTTTTCAGGTGAGTCTTCCCTGAGGCAGCCAAGGGAGCTTGTCAGAGGGTGGCCCAATCCAGCTCTCCTACACAAGGAATGAGTCGGCAGAATTGATCAGCCCTGGTCTTAGGACCATCTCTGTTGATGCCGCCATCGGCAGATTGGGTGAGGCTGAAAATCCTCAGAGTTGTTGAAGCAGGTCTCCCTCAACGCACATGGAACAAGCTGCTCCCCTCCTGTTTCCAGCCCACGGCTGGGAGGTGCAGCTCCTCTTTAGAAACTCAGATCAGGCATTTTTATTGGGTATATTACAGGAGAAATATAGCAAAGAGGATACTTATTTGATTATTCATATAATAACACCGGCAAGAATTGTATTTGCACTGTGGAAGGCAGAAAAAATTCTTGTCAGGAGAGGTAATTGTTGGAAGAAACATCCTTCTAGGTTCTGCTCCAAGTGGGGAAAACAGACACTGGAAACATGGAGACTGCTTGGAAAGATGGTTTAATGGTGGACAGGATCACATGGCTTGAGTTCCTGAACAGAAAAAGGGGAGATACAGTAAATCCTCGGGTTTTTATGCTCTCTCTGGCTCTGCATTTCTTGGGGCCCCGAAAGAGTATCCTGATTGGTTGTCAGACTCCCAGGGGGTGGGGGTCTTGCTGGCTGATGCAATCTTCCCAGGTGCCATGTGGTGAGCCTCGTCTAGATGGGTCCCATTGTGTTAGTTTCTGTTGCTATTGTGTTGCAAATGTCCTTTGACAAAGGATTGGGTTTCTGCCTCTGTCCCATTAACAAAGGGTGGGGGGCAGGAAGGTGGGAGCTGCTTCAAAACATGCTTATCCCAGGGAAATATAATATTCTGCCTTTTTCATATTTCCTAAAATATTTCACTCTTCCAGGAGAGGGGTGGGTGCTAACTTCCTACAGTAATAAAGAAGATTTTAGAATGTGCAGAAATGAATAGGCCAACATTAAGAATAAAAGATAAAAGAGGAATCGGTGTATTTCAAGACACGGAGACGATTTTATGCATGGCTAGAAAAGAAATATGAATAAAAGATTATAGTTTAATAAATTAGATAAGGTAGAAGTAAATGAGAGAGAAGACAAAAAAAGAAATAGAAACCCAGATGACACCTGGGTAAATGGAAAAGGGGGAAGGAAAAAATGTTATTATATAAATGTACATTTATGATGATATGTGTGAAATCAGTAAAATAGAAAAGAAACTGAAAAGAAAGTAAAAATTGCTTGAATACCATTTTGGAAGATATTGAATTGAAAATGAATACAACAATGGAGAGAGAATGGAAAGAGGAGTAGAGGGATAGATAGGAGGGGAGAAGAGAGGAAGAAGGGAGAGGAACAGAAGAAAGAGAAAAGGAGAGGAAGAAATGGAGGTGAAATTAAGAGTAGGAGAGAAGGTTAGAAGGGAGGAAGAAGGGAGGTGTGGGGGAAAGGAAGGGGAAGGAGAGGAGGAAAGAAGAAAGTAGAAGAGGATAGAAGAAGGGAGGGAAGGAAAAGAGAGGAGAAGGAGAAGAAGGATTGTTATAAAATAAGGGAGATGGAATGGTAGAAGAGCAGCCCCGAGCATACTTAAATTGTTTAGAATGAAGAACAAACTAATATGAAAGTCAAAAGAGAATATGTATGATCAACAATAGATAAGAAACTGTGCATTTGAAATATGTTTATGATAAATAAAAATAACGTTTTTTCAAAAAAAAAAAAAAACTCAGATCAAGCGGGAGGACAGCCTGGTTTGGCAGCACTCCCTGCCTGCAGTTACAAGTAGTCCTTGACCTACAATCATCCAGTCAATGACCGCCCTTGAAGCTCTACCATCCCAGCAATCCCATAATTTGAATCTGGGTGCTTGGCAACTTTTTCACACTTACAACTAGTTGCCAAGTGCCTCACAATCACGATTGCTGTTTGCAGCTTTTCCATAGAAATTCCATAAAGCCGGTAGGGAAGGTTGAATGTCGCTGGGGTTAGCCTTGCTGGCCTGCGCACCCTCCCCCAGCCCCTCTGCTCACACCCACTCCCTAGTACCCTCCCCACACTTTTCATGAAACCCCTTGCAACATCCGCAACCCTTCCTTCACCCAGCAATAGCCACTTACAGGTCTGTAGGCCTGGGACTTGCTACTTCCTACTGGCTTCCCCACTGATTTTGGTTGTGGGCAGCTAGCAGGAAATTGCCTTAGCTAACAACTGTGGGATTCAGTTAACAACAGCAACCAGGACTGCAAGGATTGTTAACACATTTTACAACCACTTCACTTAGTGATGGAAATTCCATTCTGTTGCTATCATAAGTCAAGGACTGCTGTACTGCAAGACCCAGGTCAGTAGAGAAAGGGTGCAAAGGGTCATTCACTCAGGATTTTTAATGAGCCTAATCCTGAGATGCTCTCCACACTTCTGGAACCAACAGATAACCTGTCCTCTTGACTAACAGCAAAGAGATGTCCTTAGGCAGTCTGTTACTTGCTCTATATCTGGATGCAACTGTAGAGTGCTCCAAAAGCATGGAATTAGACTCCTCTGCATGTCAGATACGAAATGGTTTTGGAAGAACAGCTGTTTGAGCAAACCTCTATCACAGTGAGGTCCATGTGTGACAGGAGCGCCCCCTCAAGTGCCCTTCTGTTGCATCAGATCTGATTAAGCAAGATAGCCTTGGTAGGAGGGGCCAACATCCCACCCATGAAGCTGCCACCAGCATCCTTTAAAAGGTGGGGCCAAAGTATCAGTAATTATTTGTATGGGGAGGAAAGGAAATGGTAGACCAGAGTCAGTCAAGCTTCATTCACCCAGACGGCTGGTTCCTTAAGAAATCTCTGCCGATGGAGCTGCACCTCCTTGCTCCTCAGGTGGGTCCTTGAGCTGTGCTGTCACTTGCCCAGGCACCTTGATTGGCAGGAGCTGAGCTGCTGCCTCTTAACCATTTGGCTTCAAGTGCAGAGACAGCACTGTACCTGCGCCAGTGGCCAGTTCAGAGATGCATCTGGAGTTATTTTCCTCGCAGCACAATTACGCCTTTTGACTTTACTCTTCACCTCAAAACTGGAGATCAGCAAACTCATAAAACTCCGGCTTTTATAGAGGGTATCCCACTTGCTAATCATCAATTGATCAAAGGCACTTGATTAGCAGCACCTGGCAGTAAGAGTGTACTTGGTTTTTTCACACACGTGTCTTCTCCATTTTGGCTTTCTTTTTGTAAAATAAATGATGACATGGTGTAATCTATCATGTGCTGTTGTTCTCTGAGGTTGTATTTATTTACTTTTTAAGAACTGCTAAGGACCAGATGATTTTTACTTTGTCCTGATATGTAAAGCCATAGTACTCAAAGAGGGAGTACTTTTGTTTTCACGTGATTCTAGTTTCCCTTGTGATCCCAACTTTGTCCTTTTGTGCTTTAGCTTTTTAGCTACTTTGAGGTTTGTCTTGAACACTTGGTGTAGATAGCTCCTGTCACAGTTGAGAGGTCCATTGGTGCCTCTGTCCCTGTCCCTAGCTTCTCTCCCCCATTTCATTCCTGGCTGTGGAAATGGTGAGGGCCAAAGTCACTTCTCCAGTAGCAGCTGCACAACCCTTTCCCCTCCCTTAAGAATGTTTTTCCACCTTGGGCATGGCAGTGCCATTCTTCTCCTGTCTGAAATTGCTTTTTGAAGATTCCACTGGGTTCTCTAAGGGCATCCTGAGAGAGAGCAGATTGGGTCTCAAAGGCTGCTCTGATGGCTGGGTTTCCCTTTGCAGGGCTTCAGCTGCCAGTCCTCCCTTCTCTTCAAGATTCTTTCCAGTGTTCACAACCACCAGATAAATTCTGACTTGGCACAACTGCTGTTACGCCTGGACTACAACAAGTACTACACTCACGCTGGAGGCACTTTGGGCAGGTAAGGCTCAGCACCCCAAAGCAGAGGATGCTCCTCTAGCCCCCTTCCAACAGAATCAGTGGGGAACACCTGGCCAAAGGTTGTGTCAAGCCCCGTGGCTTCCCCTCCAGGCTACGTAGCATGGGCAACAGGCGTGATGTCCACTCCCTTTTTCCTTTTACTTGCTACCCTATCACACATGGGGGAAATGGCAGAATAGCAGCTGCCCCCTGCCTCCCTGGTCTTTTGTGATTAGTTAGATCATGCTCCTCGTGTCTGTTGTAATCTGTCCATGTATTAGAAAATGTATCTCAATTTGTGCACAATTTGCTTCCTCCATGTCCTCCCTTTGAATCCCTTTTCTTTCCCTACAGTGTGGGGCTGGAATGATAGCCCACTGAGAGCATCAATGGCCACAGTTTCCAAGAAGTGTCCTGGCCTGCAATGGCAGCAACATTCCAGCTACTGGCGGAGGACAGCGGAGGCTTGTTTCTTGCAGGGCTGCCACAGCTTTGCAAGTGGAGTTTTGCATATTAAATAGCTTTCGGGGTCCTTGGGCTCCTTTAGAAGCAAAGGGAGAAGCACTGCTTGCTTCAGGCTCCAAAATGAGTCACCCCTTTTTGCTGTGACTGCAGAGCCAGAAGTCCAGCCTTTTGAAGTGGTCCCCTTCACCATTTCTAAGCCAAAATCAGTTGATAACTATAAAGGGTGCAATGCTATTAACTGCATAAAAATATTTTTTGTTCCATTTCTGAAGTTGGAGTCGTATATGAAAAGTAACCTGGCCTTGGAGATTTCAGTTGCTCAGTCTGTTTTTGTTTGCTTTTCTTGCTCAGAGGGGAAACTCTGCTGAAGACACAATTTGAACAAGGCTGAGACACTATCAACATTTGCTGCCTCTTTTGCTGGAAACTGCTCCCAAAACATAAGAGGAGCCATTTCATTTCCTAACAAAACTGCTGGAGCCCTTCATGAAAAAGGTGACAGATATTGAATTTTTATGCAATTCATTTTTTCAAGAAGGAAAGACTAGGGAGAAAATGTCCCAGAGATAGGAAATGTCTCTCCTCCCAGCCTGATTTTCTAACCTACATTCATCCTGTAACTTTGCATGGAAAAGATCGTAGAAGAAGCTCTTTTAATCGTTCTTGTTTCACAAATTCTAGAAAGAAAATCAAACTTGATAGCTATCCCATCTTAACGTGCTCCCTTCTTGTGTTTGCGGCTCTTCAAACCAGCTTTTTCTAAGTATATTTATTTAGATTGGTTTGTATTGCTTTTAACAGAACTTCCTTTTTTTGCAAACCTGGAACTCAGCAGGTTTGTCTGGAAGTTTTGTTGCAAGAAAGGAAGGGGACCTAAGTTTGGAATTTCCCAGCCCCGCATTGTGTACTGAGAGCACACACACTAAATTTCCTTCCTGTATTCATACAACATAGCTTCTTGCATTGTGATCACAAATTCATTTATAGCAGGGGTCTCCAAACTTGGCAACAACTTCAATTCCCAGAATTCCTCAGCTGGAAGTAATTGATGATAAATCAGGGCTGAAATCCGGCAAATACCACCTCTGGCTGGCCCCAGAGTGGGGTGGGAATGGAGATTTTGCAGTATCTTTCCCCTGCCACACCCACAGAACTGGTAGTAAAAAAAATTTGGATTTCACCACTGTGATATATTCTTCCGTCATGCAACTAATAGTATAATAATGGCCAAGATAAGAAATCACCATTTATTTTATCATAAAAGTTCACATTAAAACTATATACAAGCACGCCATGCAAACGACACAAAAAAGTTTAAAATCTAGAGAATCACCACAAAACAAAAAGGGAGCTTTAACAGGGGACATAATCATGTTGATACTTCAAATATTTAAAACCAGCTCTCTCTCCAGCAATAAGGCTCTGGATCACCCACTCCTGGGTTACTACTGGCAGCTGTAATGCTTTGGCACAGGGCACCATGGCAGCTGGGCAGGAAGCGTCTGTCACCACCACATCAAACACACCTAAACTCACATCTGTAAGAACAGAAAACAATGGCTGTCAGTTTCCAGTATTTCATATCCCACACTTAACACTTTTCAATGAAACAGTGATATTGCAGGAAATTCGTCCAGTTTCTCAAAGGATCCTAATAATCCTTTAAGAATAGAAAAGGGGGCGGTTACTTTTTTTATGCCAAGCCCTTCCTTACACAGAGGCAAAATACGCCTTCAACTATGGGGGAAGTTGGCAGCTGCCTGTACCGTTCTTCCATGTTGAGGATTCCTGCTGCTTAACCGAAGTGGCTCCTCCCATCATCAGAATCTCCGACCAGAGTTCCAGGAAGTTTTGTGATTCGTCAGACACCAGGAGCACCCTCAGCCTCTGGAAGGGATTTTTCCGTGGATGCCTAGAAGGAAAAACAAGGCAGCCGTGGGCAGCACTAAACACCAGAGATGTTCCTGCCATGCTGTGAGAGCAATGCCCCCCTCCCCCCCCCCACACACACTTGTGCTGAGGTTGACTGGTTCTCCCAAGGCCTGAGCACCACAAGGCCCAGGCTGCCTCCCTGCCACAGCCGGCCACTCACCACTCCAGCAGCCGCTCTTCCTCTAGGCTATAGCCAGCCGGCAACAAGTAGTTCTTGTAGTTCTGAGTCTGGTTGGCAAGGCAACTGTCATGGACCCACATGTGAGAGACACAGGGTATTCCCCGGGCAAGGCACAGGAAATACTTCCGGGTGCGGCAGTGTTGGTCTGCTATCAGGAGGCACTCATAGGCTGCGCTGCACTGGATCAAGAGGGGGGTGGGTCACATTGGTGCCAATCCTTCCATGGCAGATACAGCCACAAACGGAGGTTGCCTCAGAGATTTGCAAGTGGGAAAAAAAAAGGTGGGATCTTCATTTGCCTATTAGACCTCCAGGCTCATCCAGGCAAGCAGGCCAGAGGGAGGGCAAGAACGAAACTGGGCCTGCCTTAATTGCAAGTCACTTGGTTGGAGAACAGACAATCTTGGTCCCACAGCAAAGCCCAGCTTGCCAGACAGGAGTCATGATTGCCCTGCATTTCCTCCCATTCACATGCAGCATCCACATAGCCCCAACTTTGTCCTTTAGAAAAGCCACAAAAACCCAATTTTTACACCAGACCCTTCAATAGCACTGAATGAGAGATGCTCAAGACCAGTCCTCAAAAGTTCCTGTTGCGATGAACCCCCACAATGACATAATTGCAATGCCCTGCAATCAGGACGGCCATTCATGATCTTCACTGCCAGCTTTCAGCTGGCAAAGTCAACAGGGAGCCAGTAGGTGGTCACAAATGGTGACTGCCTGGCATCACCCTTGGTGGCACTAATTGATAAATGAGCAATTGGAAGCACCAGGACCGCTATTTCCAAGGGGTCTGATCATGACACATCTCACTTTACATCCAGATTGCTTAGCAATGGAAAGTCCAGCCCCAATTACTGTTAATCAAAGACTTGCTGATGGCCAGCACTGTCCCCCATCCCTTTCTTCCTGAAACTGGTACAGCGGATGCTGGTCTGGCCAATCATGGTTTTGGAAGCCAGGAAGGCTGCATCCCAACCATGCTTGGGAAGAAAAAGGCTTTCAAATTTGTCAATGAAGGCACCACCTAAATCCTTAATCTGGCAATGTTTGATAGATGCTGGAGGTTTGACAGTTCACTCCCAACTGAACATGAGCAGAGAGAAGAGGGCTCCATTCATTACCTGAGATCTTAACTGGGCCTTACACTTATATCTGAGATAACTCACTTATAACTTGGATTGTGCTGGCCCTAGGACCTTTTATTTGGTTGCAGTTGGTTTTATTTATGGAACCTTAAACAACTGAATTAAGGTTCTAAAAATTATTACTGATGTTCCTTCCATGTGCGTCTCACTCAAAACATAATACAGCTTGTCATAAATGCACTGAATATTGGGTATATGCGTCAAATTAACTCAGTAAATAGCTGAGTAGCTCAAAATAGCTCATCCCAGCCTGGATCCTGTCCAGCTTCCCTTTCATCACTGAATAAACAGCTTCTCTCCAGGAGTTCTCCAGCATTCTAAAAAAGAGCCCTGCGGATTTTACTCCGCTAGTTGTTGCTGACGCTCATCTCTGTTTTGAGCCCATTGAACCAGCAATCAGAAGACATTTCCGCAGCCATGTGGCCAGCATGATGCACATTTGCACACTTTCAAACCGCTAGGTGGGCAGGATCTGGGGCAAGGACGGGACTCAGCCCATTGCGGGATGCGTGGGTCTCAAACCTGGGCTGCTGGCTTTCTAGCCAACAAGCCCAGTGCCACCCCCCAACATTCTCAAGGCCTGGGAAAACCCCTTCACTTTCCCACCGAGAAACCAAAGCAAATGTAGAAAATTCACCCCCCCACACCCCCGCCCCCCGGTCACAAAGTCAGGATTGTAATGTGTGATCACCAAAGTGATTTCAAGGGGCTCCTTGAAAACAAAAACTGCCAAGTCACAGGAGGGTACAGAAGCCACTACAAAAGCTGGTGGTTGCCAAAGGCAGAAATCATTTGCTGAAGCCAAAAGATCCAGCTGCTCATGCAATCTGAAAACAATGTAAACCAAGTCCCTTCTTCTCGCCAGGCATTCCAGAATGTGGGGAGGGGCCACTTTTTCTTGTTGAGTACACTTGCATCCACAGGTTTGGCTCACAGCAGGCATCCCCCGTCCCCCCTGCCCTGGACTCTGACCTGGCTTTCATTGAAGTCCTCTAGGATGAAACCTCCTCCTGCTTGGAGTTGTAGTTCAGCATAGGGTTTGTTGTAAGGTACTCTCTCCACAAATTCTGAAACATGGAAGTATATTGGACAGTTCTTACTTCTCCTTCAAACCAGCACCAGCCTCCAAGAAAGCCTCAGAGCAAATTATCAAATTCATGGGAATAATTTTCTTCCCTTAGGCACGCACACACACACGCACATGCCTCTGTGCACAAAACTCGACTACAGTGGTTGCTGTAAGAGGAAGCAGCAGAAAATGGATAACCAACCAGGGGGTCTTTTAATACTGGCTGGACATCTGACTTGAGTGCCTCTAGTTTCCTTACTGTACAAAAGGGGCTTCATTTTGCTATCCTGTTCTCAGCAAGCGTTTCTTCAATGTCTCTAATATTTTGAGTTTAGTTTAGTTTAGTTTATTTGATTTGTATACCGCCCTACTCCCGAAGGACTCAGGGCGGTGAACAGCCAACAATAAAATACATAAATACACAAAATTTAAAAAACCCGATAAAATCAAATTAAACTTTTTGGCCCAGACAAATTAAAATACCCCAATAATTTAAAAACAGATTAAAATTTACATATTTAAAAAGGGAAGAGATCAGGCCAAGCCCGCTTGATGGAATAAAAAGGTCTTCACAGCACGGCGGAAGGAGCGCAGATCCGGGATCCTCCGTATCTCCGGGGGGAGCTCATTCCAGATGGTAGGTGCCCCCACAGAGAAGGCTCTCCCCCTTGAGCTTGTATTGATGGAGAACATCATTGATCTCTCACTATATTTCTGTCACTGAAGCCTCCCTGACTGCCCTCACTCCTGGAGATTTAATCCAGAGATTCTGAAGCTCCAGTTTTTCTTCTTGTTCCAGCTCCTCCCCTTCCCCATCTTAGGAGTCATCCTATGGCAAGATCTTCCCATCCCGCCTTTGAGAAGAGACTGAGATGCTCTTGGCCACATGTTGCTCCACTAAGGAAAATTTCACTGAATTGTTATCATCTT